TTTTACAACAGGGGCAGCGAGGGACGTCCGCCCAGCCCAAGCTGCTTTCAGTAAAGATGGAGGGATGAAACGAGGAGAGAAAAGGGACGGCGGGGGAAAGAGGACAAGAAAAAGAAGATGGCATTTTAAACCTGACGATGAACTGTGGTGTTAGATTTCCCCGAAACAACAGACAGAAACAAGAGGAACAGCACAGAGCAGGAAACATGAGATCTGAAAATGATGAATAAAACTTAAAATATGTGATTTAATGTAAAGTCGGGGTGTTGAAATCAATCGTTTCTATGATGCAGTGACAGAATACAATCGTTCATTGCAAACTGATGCTGCTTGTAGATTTTCCAGCCGGACTGAAATATTTGATTTATTTTGGTTTGCATTGTAAGCACCCCTGTACTGATGAAGTGATTCATCTTCATCAGCCTATCCATTCAGGTCGTATCTTATTTTAGAGAAAAAAAAGACAATGATCTTAAAATAGATAATCACCTGAAGAAGACCTATGCTAGAAACATGATTGTGATGGAAATAAAAACTTTTTTGAGGCATTTGAACAAGTGTGCATCTCTTCTTCCTCAGACAGCTTCTTTTGCACTGCCATGCACCCCGCGCTAAACTGCTATAGCCTGACTGATTTATCTTCCAGCTGATTACGTTTGGGCTGCACAGTGGTGCATTGGTGTACAGCGAGGAGGTTCCTGGTTTGAATCCCCGTCTGACCGGAGTTTGCATGTTCTCACCGTGCATGTGTGGGTTCTCTCCGGGTACTCTGACTTCCTCCCACAGTCCAAAGACATGCTCGTTAGGTTAACTGCTGACTCTAAATTGTCCGTAGTTGTGAATGTGAGTGTGGCTGGTTGTCTGTCTCTACATGTCAGTCCTGTGATTGGCTGGTGACCATTCCAGGGTGTAACCCCGCCTCTTGCCCAATGACAGCTTGAATTGACTCCAGCCCCCCGCGACCCCAAAAGGGAAAATAGCGGTATTGATAATGGATGGATAAGTAAGTAAGTATACAGTACATTTAAGCGTAATGCATAAGTCTGCTACTTTAAAGTCATATTGCACATGATATTAAAAGTTGTTCATTACTTTACTCTTTAATATCGGTCTATATCAGGAGCACAATCATGTCATTCAGAGGCTAAGACATGCTCTCTCTCTCCAACATTTCCTGTCACTCAATATCCGTCTTGTCAAGAAGAGGTCAAGAACATCACGTTTCACAAAAATATGAAGGAATAATGGCCAGAACGGTGTTTTTTCCACAACGTTTGGAGAATAAAATGAAGTGGACTTTTGAGCCAGACTTTATAATTTGCGTAATTTAGACTGTTGTGTCACAATCAGCCAATGAACCCCTGAGCTGGAGCTGGTAGGGATGCAACAATTCAGTCAGCCCACAGTTCAAAACGAAGCGAACCTCGTTTTAAAAAAAAAAATCATTATTAGGAGTTTTAGGCAAATTTTACAGCCATGGGTTAGCGGGAAAACAACACTTTTCAAATTCCAAAACTATTTCTTTATTTACTTTTTAGCAAAAAAAAAAAAAGGTTTCCATTTATACACATTCCTGTTGTTTGGAGTATAAGTCAAACGAAGGCAGCGTTTAAGTAGTTCCATGTGGAAATGTACAAAGAAGATTGTTTCAGTATTTTAAAATGTATTTTTGTATATTTTTGGCGGACTTTAACGCAGAAAATGGTCATACAGCGTAGGGCTGGGAAATATATCGAGTTTTTAAGCTATATCGGTATATTTTCAAACAAGATATAGGGTAAGATAATATCGTTCACATTGATATAGTTTATGTTGCATTAAAATAACGTTACAGAGGTGCCAGTTCACCTTTTTCTCATCTCAATGATGATGACTGACTGTCAGTCCCTCTTAACCCTGCTCCTCCACTCTCTCTCTTTTATTGTATTTAAGGAACATTTTTATTTTATAATATTACTTTTTAAATTGACAAACAGGTAGTTTATTTTTCCATGTGTTTTCACTATTAATGAAAGGCATAACGATATATATCGAGTATCGCCATTCAGCTAAACAATATTGAGATATGAGTTTTGGTCCATATCGCCCAGCCCTAATACAGCGTTGATATTTCATGCAGGTAACTTTGTTTCAAACGCTGCTTCTCTCACCTTGTCTGCTGGCAATAGTGACAGCCTGCTAATTCTGTTAGCCAAACTCCATAAGTGTTTCCATTTGAGTAGGCGACACGTGTAAAATGATGTTTTCAGACAGTCGTTCTTGTTTACAGTTTTTTTCTCTCCTTGTCAGTTTACTCGACGCTGAAACAGTAATGTGCACACACAACTGATTTGAATGTTTCCTCGTACTGCAGCCTCTCCTCACCGCTCATCTTAGTGTTGTCAGCTTCCCAACTTTAGCGCATGATGATTGGATATTAAGTCGGTGGGGAGGGGCTTCGTTTTTCCCAGCGCATGGACTCACAAGTGTGAGGACCACTCGACAAGCCCCTCTGGGTTTATTTGGCTCCTCCAGCACATTTCTTTCAGAATGTATAGTTTGTTAATTAACTAATCATAATGTACTGTCTGTTTTTCCATTGATCTATTATGTTTATGTTTTTTTTGTGCAATAAATAAAATAAAAATAAAGATAAAAAACGTGGAGGCCGTACCAAATGGTTCAATATTAGATGGAGAATTGTTGCATTCCTAGTAGCTACAAAGAGACTCTCAGTGAGCGTTTGACAACCTCAATGTTGTTCGGTCATCTGAATCACAGCTCTCACACATTAAGTGGATGTCTTCTGACTTTGGAAGTTAAAAAAATGTGGCTGCATGCTTGAAAGGAAACAGACTAAATGCTAGGTGTCAGCGGTGGTGGGCATCACATGTACAGCTGCCCCCTGCATGTGTTTGACTGACAGACAGACTTGTCTGACTGTGACCGCCATCTGTCCGCACGCTCTCTGTTAGACAACAAGAGGCTGGGAGACTCTGTGAGCCCGGGCGGAGCGCGGGGCACGCCTGGCACTGCCCATTCACAAAAATCTTTTGGGAGGACAGATGGTGCCGAGGTTTTCTCCTCACACGTCTTTTCTTCCACCATCCACCATTCCTGCGCTGCCTCCTCAGCGAGCTGGCATCTGCTCTGTGCCCTCAGGTTTCATCAAAGCGTCGTTTAAAACAACACAAATAAAAAGAGGCGAGGCCTGAGGGCGCCCAGGCGTGAAGGAGCCCGGCGGCTTTCTGCAGGTACAGAACCCGTCCAGTGCTCACTGGCCCAGCCACAAAAGGGTTTCACATCCCTTCAAGCTAAAACTGGCTCCGACTAGCTTCTCCCCTCTAATCTTTGTTTTCCGTCTCGTCCCCCCCTCCACTAATCTTTCTTTCCCGTCTCGCCCCCCCCCCAAAAAAAAAAAGATTCAACCAAGCAGATCAGTGTCCTCTCTGGCACGCTGGGACTGCACTGAGTACAGCCGGGAGGAAAAACTAGAGGATAAGGAGGTGGAAAACTGGTCCAGCGTTCAGGCTTATGGTGACAAATCCTGATTCATCTCCAGCGGCTTCTTAAACCTCTTCAACCCTGCAGGACGCACCGGTGGAGTCCGGGGTCTTTTATTAAAAGGCTTGTTGTGTAGCCAACACATTTAAAACGCTTACATTTCCAAAAAAAACTCTAAAAAATTCAGACAACTTTTCTAAATGTAAGACGAAAGGCATCTTCAATTCAAATGAGACTGAAAACAAGCATCCTGGGCGTTGAACGTTGCCCTGCAGCATCACTCGTGCAGGATATCTGTGCTGTAGTTGTCACTGAACAAGGCCCAGTTAAGTCACTAAAACACATCACTGACGGAGCTACATGTCTGCAACAGAACGTCAAGTCTAAACTCTGACCCCCAACACAGAGACAAAAAGCAAAAGTCTAAAATCAGACCCAAACATCACAAGTTTCCAAACTTCTTTGATTGGTAAGACTGATGTGATATGGACTGAGAGCACGAGAGAAGCCTCCAGATGGGCCTAACCAAAGATTGTTTCTGGTAGCGTCGTTAATAAAGGAGTTGATTATTTGTAATTGTTTTCATTCTTAAAACCCAAACTGAAGAAAAATGCCAAACAAACTTAAACTTCTGGCTGCACATACTGTAAATTTGCATCCCTGCTGTGTGTGTCTCTGCATGTTACTTTTAATAACCTTCATCCCTTCACTCATGCAAACACACAGACAGGTTGGAACAGCCTCCACAATCCAAACAGTCAGACAATTAAACCTCCAAAAGGCTTTAAAAAGTCTCAAAAAAACACAGAAACTGACTTTTTCACACACTCGAAAACGTCACAGCTGATCTCCAGTTTAGTCCTACTACCATGTGGTTTTCTCTGTCCTACAAGAACAAGGCAGTTTAATATATCCTTCAGGATGGGCAATGATCCATAAAGGCCATGTTTTGGGTTTTGCAGCGATAGTATGTGTTTGTGAGAAGCTTTACAGGATTACTCTCTGCTGTTGTAGTTGCCAGATATGGAGCCTCTGACACCCTTAATAAGCCAGTCAGACTACCGTGTCCAAACTTCTCTTTTCATGCTTGACAGCTCCGCTTTGGAGCTGATACGTGACGCCCTGCGCCTCCCAAACGTTTTAATCTGCGATCCCACAGACGGAGAGAGGAGCAGGGACGCTGATCATCGACAGAGATTTCTCAGACACTCTGAGAAAACCTGCTTCTGACTCCTTTCCAAATACGCACAACGCTTTACGCACTACAAGTTCAATTCTGAAAGTAAAGCAAAGCACAGCATCACTTATCTATACAACAATACAAACACGCTGACTAAATAAATACTTATTTGGTTTGTTTTGGACAGAGTGCACGTCCCAGTTCACCTGGAGCTCCTGCGCATTCACATCCAAGCGTGCGCAGAAACCACACAGACTTTATAAAAGCCAAACACTCCAACAAGGTTGGAGCGTTTTCTGTGTCACTTGAGGACAAACTGGGCTGAAACATGTCTTACCTTGTTGGCAGAGGAGGATGAAGTGCGCAACCAGAAGCAGCCAGCAGCCTGTAGTCTCCATGTTGGGGGGGAAAGAGAACGATATCAGATGCGGAAAATAAAACAAATCAAACAGAGAAGTTTGGGGAGCAGGTCCCGGTCGGCCCGCAGCCCTCACAGCTCCATGCTGCTCCGCTGCCTGCCTGCCTGCCGCTCGGTTGTCTCTTGTTGTGGTGAAAGCAAAATACAAGTCCGAGTCCCCGGTGCGTCACTCCGCTCCGTCCGCTCTCCTCCACACCGACTGACTGACTGAGGAGGATCCGCCAGAGTGACGCTGTGCGCCGCCCACAGCCCGCAGCCGCCCCGGCCTCACTTCCTCCACACACCAACAAACACAACAATAATCAGATAAACTCTCACTTTAATATTTCATGGTTTTTATTTCGCACTCAGTTTTATCAAGGTAATAAAAATGAGGAAAACTTTATGAACGTCAGGACTTGTTTATTTCCACATTAAGAAAAATGAGAACTATAGAGGGGAGAGAAAGAGTAAAGAAAAACTCAGAAAGGAAAGGAAAGGAAGAATATCAAACTGAAAGGAAAATATGGAGGAAGAAAAGAAAAAGAGGGAAACAAAAAGGTAGAACAGAAACAGAGAGAAATGTGAAAACTTAAAACTGAAAATATGACTGGAGAATTGGGGGAAAACCAAAATAAAATGTAAAAATAAATAGAATAAGTAGAGAAGGAAGAGGAGGAAGTTAAAAAAAAAACTGTCAGACATTTTTCAACTGGCAACAAAAAGGTGTGATTCTTTAAACTGAACTGTGATCTGCAGGGCCTGGTTAACCTCTTAAAGAGTCCCAGGGGCAAAAAAAATAACCTCCGTCTGTGCCAGTTTAGCCATCTTTAGCTAATTGTTAAGGTATTCAAAGCGAGACTAAATACTCATGAAAGCAAATCTCAACATCAGGATGTTTATCTTAAAACCTCAGCAGAACTTTATAGTTGAATGTTTCTGTTCACTCTTGCTGCTGAAATATCATTACTTTAAGAGAGGAAGTAGTAGTAGTAGTAGTATAAACTGTACAATACTTAAAAGCAGTGGGGGGCGCCAGTGGCCTAGTGGTTGGTGTGCACGCCCTCCAACGGGGCGGCCCAAGTTCAGGTCCGACCTGTGGCTCCTGTCCCCCATGTTGTTCAGCACTCTCTCCCCCTGATTTCCGACTCTATCCACTGCCATGTCTCTAAAATAAAGGCATAAAAAGCCCCAAAATAAACATTTAAAACAGAACTGTCCTTCAGGAGGTGGTGGAGACCAAAAATCAGAGCTAAAAGAGAGTGAGTCTATCAAACACAAGCAACTGTTCTTCCATTACATCAACTCAAAATATGAAAATATGTGCATGTTGTTCCCATGAGCGGTTCCTGCTGCCCCCTAGTGGCCAAAAATATCAATAATTTATTGGATCACAATAGTTAAAAGTACGTCTTGACAGATTTACTGTGATGTGAAGAATTATCCCAGGAGTCTTCGTGAAGCTGTTTCAACCACAATTTTATTTAATTAATTCAGTATATTAAGCAAAAATAATTTCCCTTCAAGAACGCTGTGAACATCTGCTGCTTGATCATTTTTGTAACAACTTAAACAAGTCTATGGATTCAGTCAGTGGCCCTTTCTAAAGAGCTTCAGTTCAGTATGGAGTGCAGACTTTTTCAGTAGACTGAACCCTCTTAGTCATTCAGTGGTCATTTTTTGGGACCACCTCAGTAGACTGGACATTCAGCATGGATACTAACTTCCTGGTTTTATGCAGTATGGTTTGGATGCATCCTTTCAGGAAATGAGCTGTAGGAAGTAGGAACAAATATCAGCCTACTGAATAGTAGTTCCTAAGAGTATACAGACCGGAGAGAATGGACTGTCTACTGTCAGATTATGGAGGCACTTTGCAATTACGAATAGACAATATTCCCACGGCGGCCATGTTGCTGTGACATCACACTCAGGGTGGGAGGCCCAAATGATGTTAACGTGTCTAACTATATTGTTTTCAATTGATGAGAAAGTACACAGACAATGGATACTGAAAATACGTGAACACACTGAAGTCGGAAGAATGACTTCCCAAATTGAAAAATTGGGATCATCCGAGGAGCACCTGAATGCAGCATATATACACAGACAGAACCCAAGAAGCAGGATCTGAAAGAGGGAGACAAGCGTTAATACAAAATAAAACAGGAAATGTAAAGAAGGAAGAATCCTTTCTTAAAGTAACAAAAAATAAGTTACACTGCTCAACATCTTATTGAGTAGATCCCATCTTTTTTGGGGGAAATAATAGACGTGGGAACACAACCTGTCAAACCTTAAATTGAAAGAGGTCACCTTCATCAGCTGCTCAGAGTTCCCTCGCAGTCTGGCTCAGCGGCAGCAGTTGGTGGCTCGCTGACTGCAGTCGGCGGGGGGTCTTTAACTCGACGTAAGGAGTAATTGAGTGAAACGTCTGCGAGGTGTGTCTTTTTTTTTGTTTTTAAAGTGTGTGTGGTTGAGTTCACCAGGCCACCGACCTCCTGACCCCTGAGAGACGCTTCCACCTCGCAGTGAAATAGAGCCCAAAACATCAGCAGTGACCCAGAAATCACAATTCACTCTGGGAATGTGGAACAAGTGCCTGTGTGTGTGTGTGTGTGTGTGTGTGTGTGTGTGTGTGTGTGTGTGTGTGTGTGTGTGTGTGTGAAAACATGCTGGCTGGGATCAAAAGATGCAACACTCCCTGCTCATAATCTGGAAAGTTGTCTCCATCTGAAATTCAAAGAAACACAAAAAAATGTCTTAAAAAAAGTGGAAACAGCGTCAGCTGAGAAGATGAGACCAAACCAAGAGAAAACCTCAAGATGCAAACATTCAAATGAAACGACCGCAATTCCTCCACTGTCCACTAGAGGCTGGTACCGATAGTGAGTCGGTCCCCATAGAACCCCATATTAAAGTGTCTGACTTTACAGCAGACATAAACATGTTTACAGCCTGGTTTTAGTATCTATGACTCATTTCTCTCTTCATGACGCCTGCACGAGGTAAGTATTTATACAAGTCAGCTGTTTACATTAAGCATTAAAGTGATGTATAATGAGGGGGCGTGGCCTCTTTGAGCTGCTAGCTGTCTGCTGAGGAGGAGTCACCTCAGCTCATTCAGTCACTGAACTTGAAAGCACAATATGTAGATTCCACCACCAGGGGGCTCTCACTCCAAACATTAACAGAATATGACATCGAGGCTGGCGGGGAATCATGGGAGTGATTCTCACTGCTACCCCCCCCCCCAACACAGACGAAAACAAACTCTGAGTTGACCGTAGTAAAGACGACCGGGCAAAACCGACCTGAGGAAGAGAATATAATTACAGACGAGCTAATGTATCCGAGTATAATTTACATGAAGTTTTTATCACAGCAGCACAAACAGCGAAAGTACGACAGCTTTCAGTAGCAGGCATGTTGACGTATTGCTTCTGCGCTCAAACTATGACGCAGTATGTTATCAAAACAGAGGTATTCATGTTGCCAACTCCTTACTGGAACGCGATCGACTCAGGTGTTACGTCATTCCCAGCTCCAACATCCGACTTCCGAGGTTAATGGAGCACACCATTTGTACTCGATGGGGGTGGCCCTGGTTCAACTCTGACCTGTGGCTCCTCTCGCCATTGATCTAGCCCAGGGATGTGCAACTTTGTTCACAGCGAGGGCCACATTCATTTAATTCTCACTGCCAGAGGGCCAAATTGTAGCATACAAAAAACAATTACAGTCAATTATGTCTCAAATTTAACTCAACATATACCAGTGATCAAATATTATTCTGGACATATTTCTGGTTTTCATGATTTCATGGCAGATTTTGTCATGTTTTCTTTCATGTTTCCAATTAATTGATATGTAAAAATTGACCTGAGGGCCATGTTGAGGGTTGATGGGGGCCGCATGCGGCCCCCGGGCCGCCAGTTGCCCACCCCTGATCTAGCCCCTGTCATGTTTTTAAAATAAAGGAATAAAAGAGAGTTTTGTGCAAAATAACAAACAAATAAAGGTGTTATTTCTGCTCATGGCCACTAGGGGGAGTCCTCAGAAATTGCCTTTACTGCATTACAACCCAATTTTAAAAAAATCTTCCTATATGTGGCTGCAGCACGTTGATTTAAATGGTCATTGATGGAAAGACGTCAACCTGAGAAATCCTCCGATAGACGTTTAAAAGATGAGAAATTATTGATTCTTATTATTCCTTACACTCTGTGATTTACAGATGATGCAACATCACCTTGTTCTGTCCTCACAGACTTTTAAATAAACTTTCCCTCAGCTCAGTTTCAACCACTGGCTGAATTTTTTTTTTAACCTCACAATAAACGACCACACCACCCCGTCTTTATCTGAGCGAATACATTTGCATAATTTACTCTGGATTATCTTTAATTTATGCAGAAACTGCTTTCCACTTGTTAGGGTGAATGTTTCCAAGGGGGCTAATAAAATTAGTTGTTCTCTCACAGAGCCTCCATTCAGGCTTTTCTTCTTTCAGGAGCTTTCAGAGAGTTTTCTCTGACTTACAAACCTACAAACTTTCTCTTAACATGAACCTGTAACCTGAGATGACCTCGACATGGTGAGACGCCATTTATTTGACAAAGAATTTTACATTTGATTCAATATAATGAAAGAAAACAGAGCAATGAAAAATATTATCAGGATGAAAAACGTTGCTGTAAAGAGGCCGAAAACTGTTAGTTGGTTTTGAGGAAATGTGTGGATACTTTACTTCACACAAGAAAGATTCAGGAGACTCAGATGGCTTAAGAAGAAGTTGTTTACATATGACACAACAATGCAGAACACAGGTGATTGCAGATCGAGCAAAGGACAATTTTTGACTCCTTCACGGGGAAGCGAGTGGAGGGGGGTTGGAGGTGTCGCTGGAGGAAAGTTCATGTTCACATCTTCAGCTTTATTTAAAGCTTCTCTGTCTTCTCAGATACACGGACAGGCCCTCGGATGATGTTTCATGGGAAAAAAAGCTGCTTTCATTGAAACTGACAGACAAAAACAACAAACCTCCTGAGGGAAAGTTCCCCAGGGTATTTTTCTTTTTCAGGACATCAGATAAGTTTTTATTGTTTGTAACCGTGTTAAGCTTTGTGCTCCTCTTCAGCTCTGCCCTGGCTTCAAGTTAATGCAGGTCAACATATTAAACGAGTCAATGCTGCTTTTTCTGGAATGGAC